AATAAAATACTGGTATGTTGGCAATACTACTCAAATTGATTTACAAAGTCAATAGAATTCCTATTAAAATTCTAGCTGGCTTTTTTTTTCTTTCAGAAATTGCATTGATTTTAAAATTCTTATGTAAATGCAACACTGAAGAGCCAAAACAATCTTTAAAAACAAGAACAAAGTTGGAAGACTCACACTTTTTGATTTCAAAACTTGCTACTCAGCTACAGTAATTAATACAACATGGCACTGGCATAAGGATAGACTTATATGTCAATGAACTAGAATTAAGAGTCCACAACTAAAACATTACATTATAGTCCATTGATTTTTGCACAAGGGTGCCAAGACAACTGAATGGGAACACAGTAGACTTCTCGACAGATGGCACTGGGAAGATCAGAGAGCCACATGCAAAGAAATTAAATCGAGGCCCTTTCTCATGCATACCCCCAAATTAATTCAAATTTGATCACAGACCTAAATATAACAGCTAAAATTATAAAACTCTTAGAAGACATGCAGGAGTAAATCTACAATGTCATGGTTTAGGCAATAATATCTTAGTTGTGACACTAAAAGTACATGTGACAAAAAGAAAAAATAGATAAACATTAAAATTAAAAATATTTGTGCTGCAAATAATAACATCAAGAAGATAAGACAATCTACTGAATAGGAGAAAACATTTTCAAAGAATATATATGCTAAAGGACTTACATTCAGAATATATAAAGAGCTCTTACCAGTCAATAATAAAAAGACAAATAATTAAATTTAAAAAAAGGCAAAGAATCTGAGTAGGTATTTCTCCAAAAAAGATACACAAGTATTCACTAAGCACACAAAATGATGTTCAATATCATTAGCCATCAGAGAAATGCAAATCAAAACTACAATGAGATATCACTTCACTGCACTAGGATAGCTATAATAAAAAAGAAAGATAACATTAAGGATAGGCAAAATGTGGAGAAATCAGAATCTTTATACATTGCTAGTGGGAATGTAAAATGATGCAGTCATTTTGGACAACAGCAGTTCTTCAAACAATTAAACAGAGAGTTACTATAAAACTCAGCCATTCCACCACTAGATATCAAGCCAAGAGAAATGCAAACATATGTCCACATAAAAATTCATGCATGGATCTTCATAGTATTATTATACTGTGAATAATATTGTATGTAATATTATTCATGCAAATTAAAAAGTAGACAAAACCGAAATGACTATCAAGAGATGAAATGATGAATATGATGAAGGCAGATATGGGGAGTGACTGCTAATGGATTCAGGATTATTTTAGTCAAGATGAAAATGCTCTAAAATTATATTGTGGTAATGGTTACACAATCCCATGGATATAATTAAAAACATTGAATTTTCACATTAAATGGCTACATTGTATAGCATGTGAATTATATCTGTTATATATATAGCTGTTTAAAATTTTTTAAAGAAAGTAAAAACACACTTACATGCTGCGCTCACTCCTAAAAGCAGAATCTCTTCTCTCATTTGTAAGTTTCTAGAGCTTGAATCCTACGATAGGGACAGATACGAAACAGAAAGATCTGTTTGCTAGTGAGGGGATGAGGTTTTCAACATTTAGGGACTGATGTGTGCAAACTTTAATGGAATAAGCTCATTTTCCTTCACTGTAGACAAAAACAAACAAACAAAAATTAAAGATACATATTTCTGAAGAAATTTCCTTGGTTATAGCTTTGGTTTAGAAGAATCTCAATCTGCATTATATAACACCTTTTAATCATCCAGAATGATGCTATTAAGAGAAGAATCTGAAGAGCACTAACTAAAGGATTGCCTTGTTATGTTGGAACACAATTATCTGGTTGAAGGCTTGGGCTCTCACTCTGAGGAGAGGAGTGTGTTGAGGACTTTGGAGCAAGAGGAAACAGTAAGGAGTGAGCAGAGGCACTGAGTATTTCAGCCTCAGTACTCAGAATATGTTCTTCATAACCTGTTTCTATTTGCACAGAGACAGTTCATGTTAGAGCACAACCTAAAGCATGATTGGAGCAAAATGGAAAAAATTTTTCCTATCCAGGAAATCAAAAGGCCAGATGCTGAACTGAGTAAATGCACAGAATCTCAGAAAACTCAGTCACGCAAGAGAGACGTTTGAAGAGCTGAAGTGGGGAGGATCCAAAATAGGGTTGCTAGATAAAAGACAGGATTGCAGCTAAATTTCAACTTCAGATAAACAACAAACATATTTTTTCTTAGTATAAGTTTGTCCCAGATATTTCAGGGATGTATTTTCATTTGCTGAATTTGTAGCTTTTAGTGTGTTTGTATTTGCTAAATATGGCAACTCTAATCCAATGGACACAGGTAATAAAACATATGGATAATCAGTTGGCAATAAAAAGAGATGTGAAGAGAGAGAGAATCTCTAAAAAATGGGGACTGAGACAGAAGATGTGAAGAGGAAGGCTGGGGGCAAAGAGTAGAACAGCTCCCAGCAGAAGGTTTTCAGAGGATTTTGTAGCTCAGTTTTGTAGCTTCAGCTAAAACGACCACTAAAAATATATATCCACTATGGGAAGACTACAGGGTTTCAGTTCTTTACATCTCATGGCTCATGATAAAAGCATTCAAGGAACTCCCTGAGCCATATTATTTCCAGACTGACATATGACCATGCACAGTAGCTACAAGAACCTTCTTTCAGGAACTCCCAGATGATGATACTTTTTGGTGAACCTCTCAAAACCATAAGGTCCCACGATCATACTCTTGATGACCCTGAGGCATCTCTAATCCAGCTACCCCATGAAATCTTCCTCAGGGAAACAGAAGAGAAGTAATACTTCACTGCCAGCTGAAGCTCTCAAAAATAACGAGAAGTGGGAAAGGAAAAGCTAATGTTGACACATATATAAGGAGTGAATAGTGCCTGAGAACTTGAAAATAAGGTTGGATGTCCTCAGAGGTATACTAGCAAACTCTAAGTCATTATGGTTATCATTTGGGGAAGTAAAACAAGAGACAGCTCATAATGTGTCACTGAAGCATAAGAGAGCAGATAAAACATTAAAAGTCATGTGATGTGGGTAAGACCTCAAGGAGACAGACATGGAATGTGAGTATCATTTAGTAATGTAAATATAATACAATTTGTCAAACATGGAAGCCTCAATAAATAAATTCAAAAAGAAAAGCTGACAATGTCCATCAGAACAATGTCCTAAAAATGCACATCTTGGCTAAGTAGACAGAGCATTATGATTTGTTTGGCTAGTAAACCTCCCTGCACGAGCCTCTGTGCTGGTCAGTCAATAGCCTACATTCTGGATTGTACTCATTAGTCTCTGTGGACTTAGTTAAATGTGAGTCTATTCCCAAAAGGGAGATCCAATCTTACCACATTAATAAACCAATTGGGTTTCTGAGCCTGGACTTCTTAAAGCCAACTTCTGGGTCATGGTGAATGGCTCAAAGGAAGCCTCTGGTAGTTTTTCCAGGGCAATACATTGTCTGCCTGTTTTCCAATGAAAATGCAGGGTTCCAAGGCCAAAATCAACCTCCCTAAATTCACATAATATGGTCTTTTTATCACAATACCTAATCCCTCTCCATTCTTAGTTAGCTGCATGTCCAGTGTGGATTACCTTATAGCTTGGGATCCGGAACTAACATTCCAGTGTTCTGACTGCTGTACTGGCCCAACACTAAACACAGATCATCCATAGCCCCATCTCTGTTTCACTTGTAACAGCCTTAAATTATAATTTCTTTATTACTTAAATGAACCACTTCTTCCCACACACCTTATGCTACATAAAAGCTTCCTTCTAGTTGCAAGGAGACCGCTTACTTGTGGATGGCTCTTGTCAAAAACTACAGAGTTGCAACAGGAGAGCATCAGAGAAGACTTACATAAATATTTTTGATTTTTAGGTGCTTATGTTCTCCAGTTATTTCAGGCAGACACTGAAGCATAAATAAGGTATGGGAATGCTCTGGGCAAAATAGTAAGTGCCTCTGAAACAACAGATGGCTGCAGGTAGAAAGGTAAAACATCTCTATCAGTAGTTTCTAAACACTTCTCACTTTTGATCTTCAAAGGCTTATGAAACTTTATACCTTACATACACCAGCGAAAAATAAAGTTCATATTTACAAACAACTCATACAATTTATAGTGTGTCAAGTATCTTAAGTTCTTTATATCTATGTTTTGACATATTCATACTCAAAGAATCAAGGAGCATCACCATGGATTCATTTGGAGCATTTCTGCTCCATTCTGTAACCTCCTAAGGACTGTGTTCTTAGCTTTGTAATCTCATCCTAAAAATAGTCTAATAGTCCACTTTGAGAGCAATAACCTTAGGTTCCAAGAGTGTTGAAGGGGGCTATAAAGAATTATAGCTTCTTAACCTATAACCTTTCCCTAATCAATATCTAATAAAAATCACTACAAACATGTAGAAGTACCATGACTATTCCACTCTTTGTCTTTGGTACAAATGGTTTTCTCTTATTTTATTTCAATTATTATTAAACACTTCAAACAATAAGTGAATTAAGATAAGGACTTTTTTTAAATTTATGGACATATAACCCAGAATTCACAAACATTAAAATTTGATATTTAGTCTCATTTAGAAAATAAAATACTAAAAAGATACAATAGATACCATATATTGTACATACAGAATATGGTGGATTCTATGTAGATACAGAAGATACTATAAATTGTTTCTAATGATCTTTCATTTTCCTACCCTTTAAAAAATGTACATAATCATAAGCAATATACTAGTTTTTGTGCTTATACATGTAAATAAATGGCATTATATCTTACATATGGTTCTACCACTTGCTTTCTTTAACTCATCATTATTTTAGGGGCTGTAACTATACTGAGTCTTGTAGATTATTTGCTAATGTTAAATGTGTATAATATTCCATTATATGAAGATGCCACTATTTGTTTATCTACTTATTAATTTGATTCCTGTTGGTAATTTTAGGTTGCTTTCTGGTTTGGGTTATTATTAGCATAAGAGCAGAGAAGATATGCAAGAATTTCTCTAAAGTATCTTCCTAGAAGTGGAACGGCTGGGTAACAAGGTATGCACATCTTCAGCTTGTTTTATGAGGATTAACTGACTTCATATGTTAAAGTAATTAGCAATGCTTGGCAGGGAACAGGAGCCTAATAAACATTTAGGGTGTGGTAGCTACAAATATTTTATATTTTGATGAAGTCAAATTATCAATATTTTTTATTTTTTCATCTTGTTTTAAAGAATTCCTTCCTGCTGTGATATTATATTCTTCTACATTTTATTTTTTTTTTATTAAGTTTTGGAACTTTTGCTTTTCTCTTAGAGATTTTTAATTCACTTAGAATTTATTTTGGTGTGTGCTAAGAAGTAAAACACTAACATTTCAATATGGATAAGCAATGGTCCCAACACCACTTTATCCCTAACTAACAATGCTATTTTGATCACACTCCAAGACTCCATTTATGTGTGTGTATCTTTCTGGGTTCTCTGTTCTATCCTATTATAGATATTTAAGTTCTTAATTTCACTGTGGCTTCATTTCATTTATAAAATGGAGATAAAATCATACTTATTTCATAGGATGCTATGAGAATTAAACACACTCACACACAAAGTGCTTGAAATAGTGCCTGATATATAGTAAGTAAAATATACAGGTTAGTTTTTCTGATAGCTAATTTTACTTATTTTATATGTTAATTTCATTGGACTACAGGGAACACAGGTATTTGGTCAAACATTATTCTAGGTATGTCTGTGAAGCTGTTTTTAGACAAAATTAGCATTTAATTGGTAAGCAGATTGCCTTCCCTAATGTGAGTAACCCCAATCCAATCAATTAAAACTCTAAATAGAACAGGCTAACTAAAAGGGAACTCCTGTCTGTTTTAACTGGGACATCAATCCTCACCTGTGATGAAAGCTCTCCTGGTTCTCAGGCCTTTGTACACAGACTGGGTTTGCACCATTGACTCTCCTGGGACTCCATCTTGCAGACTGCAGACCCTAGGATTTCTCAGCCTCCACAATCATGTATGTTAATTTCTTATAATACATCTTTACAAACACACACACACACACACACACACACACACACACACACGGGTCTATTTCTCTGAAGAACCTAATACAGCCATTATTAGTAGATGTTTATCCATTTGTCAACACTACACTGTTCCAAAGATTCAAGTTTGTATTACTTCTTGACTTCTAATAGAGCAACGTTTTCCTCTTCGTTAAAATTTTCCTCAATTCCTTGAACCTTTTTCTTTCATATGATATTTGGAATCAAACTTCTCAAAAACTCCCAAGGGATCTGAATCAGAAATGCACTGAGTTCATGGATTTGAGAAAAACAGATTTTACAGTACTGATTTTTCCTCCAGGAACAGGTTATATCTCCACCTCCTTTTTTAGTCTTCTTTATATTTTATTCAATAAACTAATTTTCAACATGATGAACTTCTGCAATTTCTATATATTTTCCCCAATTTATAAATAGTTTCGTCACTATTATGAAAAAGATTTTATCTTAACCATTTCATTTTTAATTAGTTATTGCAAAAGAATTCTGCCTAACTTTATACATGAATCTTGCATTCAAAAAGCTTGCTGAATTTTTTATTATTCTTAACAATTTATTTGTATGGAACTCTGAATGATCTGTATACATTGTTTAGACACCTGATGATAGCAGCCTTGCCTTTTTTTTTTTTTTAACTATCTTACATATTTTCATACTGGCTTATTAGCAATGCCCTAGCTTTTGGAGACAAGGAAATATATATATTATAAACATAATATTTGTCTTTACTGCCCCTGGAGCTATGCAATAAGAAATGAATTGTGTAGCCATCTGTCTAGGTGTCCAGTTAATTATTTTGATCCCACAGAGTAATGAAACTTCTCTTACTTCCTCAAGAGGGCCAAATAGTTACAGCCCAAATTAGGTAGCTAGGTTAAAATGCTAAAGTGAAGGAAGACTGGAGTGCTATCTCCTGAGGTATTTACATTTCAAATGGTATGAAGTCCAGAGCTTGAAGATATCTCTGGGTCTTCAAAGCCAGAGACACCATCCATTAACGTATTAATAGCCCTTGGAAAGATATTTACATTCCAAAAGGTTAGGCCAAGAATCTAGCATACTTTGCATCAAATGAGTAAAAATGTTTTTCTCTCCTTTCAGAAAGGAAAAGGGATGGTTCTCTCTCTCCCATGTATAAAAGAACATCTACTGTATTTCACCTCTTGCCTATAGTGTGTCAGTCTACTCATGTAGGAGATTTTGTTTCTTTCTTTTTGTTTTTGAGGCAGAGTCTCACTCTGTCCCCCAGGCTGGAGTGCAATGGCAAGATCTTGGCTCACCACAACCTCCGCCTCCTGGATTCAAGCAATTCTCCTGTCTCAGCCTCCCGAGTAGCTGGGATTACAGGTGCATGCGCCACCACACCCAGCTAATTTTGTATTTTTAGTAGAGGCAGGGTTTCTCCATGTTATTCAGGCTGGTCTTGAACTCATGACCTCAGGTAATCTGCCTGCCTCGGCTTCCCAAAGTACTGGGATTACAGGTGTGAGCCACTGCACCCAGCCTCATGTAGGGGATTTTTCCATTTAGTTTTAACTGTGTCATTCCAGGGATTAGTCCTGGAGCAAAAGAGGGGCGAGGTGGTGCAATGCATTTATTATTTAATATAAGGTAATAAATAATAAATCTGTCTCTCACCCAGAATACATAATCAGCCATTTAGGATAAAATTAATAATTATGAATATTAAAAAATGACCAAATGAACACATTTTTCTAATGATATCACTCTTCCATTTCTGAGATAAACCTTAATTAATGATAATATATTTAATTTGAACCATTTCTGGGGTGAATGTACCAATATTATATATACATATTTCTTTAATCATACTTTAAGTTCTGGGTACATGTACAGATCTTGCAGGATTGTTGCATAGGTACACACATGCCATCATGGTTTGCTGCCTCCATCCCCCATCAGCTACATCAGGCATTTCTCCCACTGTTATCCCTCCTCAACATCCCCACCCCCACTGTCCCTGCCCTAGCTCCACACAGCCCAACAGACCCCAGTGTATGACGTTCCCCTCCCTGTGCCCCTGTGTTCTCATTGTTCAACACCCACCCATGAATGGGAAACATGCAGTGTTTGGTTTTCTGTTCTTGTGTCAGTGTGCTGAGAATGATGGTTTCCAGACTCATCCATTTCCCTACAAAGGACACAAACTCATCAATTTTTATGGCTGCATAATATTCCATGGTGTATATGTGCCACATTTTCCTTGTCCAGTCTATCATGGTTGGGCATTTGGTTCATTCCAAGTCTTTGCTACTGTAAACAACACTGAAATGAACATACCTGTGCATGTGTCTTTATAATAGAATGATTTATAATCCTTTGAGTATATACCCAGTAATGGGATTGCTGGGTCAAACAGAATTTCTATTTCTAGATCCTTGAAGATTTACCCCACTGTCTTCCACAATGGTTGAACTAATTTACATTCCCACCAACAGTGTAAAAGTGTTCCTATTCTTCATATCGTCTTTAGCATTTGTTGTCTCCAGATTTTTTAATGATCATCATTCTAACTGGTGTGAGACGGTATCTCAATGTGGTTTTGATTTGCATTTCTCTAATTACAAGTGATGATGCACATTTTTTCATATGATTGTTGGTCTCATAAATGTCCTCTTTTGAAAAGTGTTCACATCTCTCACCCACTTTTGAATGCATTTGTTGGGTTTTTTTTCTTATAAATCTGCTTTAGTTCTTTGTAGATTCTGGGTATTAGCACTTTGTCAGATGGGCAGACTGCAAACTTTTTTTTCCCATTGTGTTGGTTGCTGGTTTACTCTGATGATTGTTTCTTTTGCTGTGCTGAAGCTCTTAAGTTTAATTAGATCCTATTGGTCTATTTTGGCTTTTGTTGCCAATGCTTTTGATGTTTTAGTCATGAAGGCCTTGCCTATGCCTATGTCCTGAATGGTTTTGCCTATGTTTTCTTCTAGGATTTTTATGGTGTTAGGTCTTATGTTCAAATCTTTAATCCATCTGGAGTTAATTTTAGTGTAAGGTGTAAAGAAGGAGTCCAGTTTCAGCTTTCTGCACATGGCTAGCCAGTTCTTATAACACCATTTATTAAACAGGAAATCCTTTCCTCATTGATTGCTTTTGTCAAGTTTGTCAAGGATCAGATGGTTGTAGATGTGTGGCTTTACTTCCAAGGCCTCTGTTCTGTTCCTTTGGTCTATATCTCTGTTTTGGTACCAGTACCATGCTGTTTTGATTTGTAGTATAGTTTGAAGTCAGGTAGCATGATGCTACAGCTTTGTTCTTTTTGCTTAGGATTGTCTTGGCTATGCACATTCTCTTTTGGTTCCATATGAAGCCTAAAGTGATTTTTTCCAGTTCTGTTTAAGAAGACAATGGTAGCTTGATGGGGATAGCATTGAATCTATAAATTACTTTGGGCAGCATGGCCATTTTCTCAATACTGATTCTTCCTAATGATGAGTATGGAATGTTGTTCCATCTGTTTGTGCCCTCTCTTATTAACTTGAGCAGTAATTGTAGTACTCCTTGAAGAGGTCCTTCACATTCTTTGTTAGATGTATTTCTAGGTACCTTATTATCTTTGTAGCAATTGTGAATGGGAATTTGCTCATGATTTGGTTCTCTGTTTGTCTGTTATTAGTGTATAGGAATGCTTGTGATTTTTGCACACTGATTTTGTATCCGGAGACTTTACTGAAGTTGCTTATTGTCCTAAGGAGATTTTGGGCTGAGAAGATGGGGTCTCCTAAACATACAATCATGTTGTCTGAAAATAGAGACAATTTGAGTTCCTCTTTTCCTAATTGAATACTTTTATTTCTTTTTCTTGCCTGATTGCTCTGCTAGAATTTCCAATACTATATTGAATAGATGGTGAGAGAGGGCATCCTTGTTTAGTACCAGTTTTCACAGGGAATGCTTCCAGTTTTTGCCCATTCAGTATGATATTGGCTATGGATTTGTCATGAATAGCTTTTATTTTGAGATATGTTCTATCAGTACCTAGTTCATTGAGAGTTTTTAGCATAAAGGGATGTTGAATTTTGTTGAAGGACTTCCCTGCATCTCTGAGATGACCACGTGGTTTTTGTCTTTGGTTCTATTTATGTGATGGATTACATTTACATATTTGCATATGCTGAACCAGCCGTGCATCCCCAGAATGAAGCCTACTGGATCATGATGGTAAGCTTTTTGATGTGCTGTTGCATGCGGTTTGCCAGTATTTTATTGAAGATTTTTGCATTGATGTTCAACATGGATATCGGCCTGAAGTTTTCTTTTTTAGTTGTGCCTCTACCAGGTTTTGGTATCAGGATGATGTTGGTCTAATCAAATGAATTAGCGAGGATTCCCCTTTTTTTTATTGTTTGGAATAGTTTCAGAAGGAATGGTACCAGCTCCTCTTTGTATCTCTGGTAGAATTTGGCTGTGAACCTGTCTGATCCTGGACTTTTTTTGGTTGGTAGGCTATTAATTACTGCCTCACCTTCAGACCTTCTTACTCGTTTATTCAGGGATTCAACTTCTTCCTGGTTTAGTCTTGGGAGGGTGTAAGTGTTCAGGAATTTATTCATGTCTTCCAAGTTTACTGGTTTATGTGCACAGAGTTCTTTGAAGTAATCTCTGATGGTAGTTTGTATTTCTGTGGAATCGGTGGTAATATCCCCTTTATCATTTTTTGTTGCATTTATTTGATTCTTCTCTCTTTTCTTTTTTATTAAATCTGGCTAGCAGTCTATTTTGCTGATCTTTACAAAAAACCAGCTCCTGAATTTATTGATTTTTTTGATTGGTTATTGTGTCTCTATCTCCTTTGGTTCTGCTCTGATCTTAGTCATTTCTTGTCTTCTGCTAGCTGTTGACTTTTTTGATCTTGCTCTCTAGCTCTTTCAATTTTGATGATAGGGCGTCAATTTTAGATCTTCACTTGCTCCCCTTGTGCGCATTTATTGCTATAAATTCCCCTCTAGACACTGCTTTAAATGTGTCCCAGAGATTCTAGTATGTTATGTCTTCGTTCTCATTGGTTTCAAAGAACATCTTTATTTCTGCCTTCATTTTGTTGTTTATCCAGTCATTATTCAATAGTAAGTTGTTCAGTTTCCATGCAGTTAGAGGTTTGGGGTGAGTTTCTGAATCCTGAGTTCTAATTTGATTGGACTGTGGTCTGAGAGACTGTGTGTTATGATTTCCATTCTTTTGTATTTGCTGAAGAGTGATTTACTTCTAGTTATGTAGTCAATTTTAGAGTAAGTGTGATGTGGTACTAAGAAGAATGTATATTCTTTGGATTTTGGGCAGAGAGGTCTGTAGATGTCTATTAGGTCGGCTTGGTCCAGATCTGAATTCAAGTCCTGGATGTCCTTGTTGATTTTCTGTCTCTTTGATCTGTCTAATATTGACAGTGGAGTGTTAAAGTCTCCCACCATTATTGTGTGGGAGTCTATGTCTCTCTGTAGGTCGTTAAGAACTTGCTTTATGTATCTGAGTTCTCTTGTATTGGGTTCATATATATTTAGGATAGTCAGTTCTTCTTGTTGCATTGATACTTTTACCATTATGTAATGCCCTTCTTTGTCTCTTTGATCTTTCTTGGTTTAAATTATAGTTCATTTTATCAGAGACTAGGATTGCAACTCCTGCTTGTTTTTGCTCTCCATTTGCATGGTAAATCTTCTTCCATCCCTTTATTTTTGAGTCTATATGTGTCTTTGCATGTGAGATGGGTGTCCTGAATACAGCATACCAATGGTTCTTGACTTTTTATGCAGTTTGCCAGTCTGTGTCTTTTGATTTGGCATTTAGGCCATTTATATTTAATGTTCATATTATTATGTGTGAATTTGATCCTGCCAATTTGTTACTGGTTGGTTTTTTTTTTGCCCATTAGTTAATGCAGTTTCTTCATTGAGTCATTGGTCTTTACCAATTGGTACATTTTTGCAGTGGCTGGTACTGGTTGTTCCTTTCCATGTTTAGTGTTTCCTTCAGAAGCTCTTGTAATGCAGGTCTGGTGGTGACAAAATCTCTCAGCAATTACTTGTCCATAAAAGATTTTATTTCTCCTTCACTTATGAAGCTTAGTTTGGCTGGATATGAAATTCTGGTTTGAAAGTTATTTTGTTTAAGGATGTTGAATATTGGCCCCACTCTCTTCTGGTTTGTAGGGTTTCTGTCAAGAGATTCCTTGTAAGTCTGATGGACTTCCCTTTGTGTTACACAACCTTTCTCTCTTGCTGCCCTTAGCATTTTTTCCTTCATTTCAATGCTGGTGAATCTGATGATTATGTGCCTTGGGGTTGCTGTTCTTGAGGATTATCTTTGTGGTGTTCTCTGTATTTCCTAAATTTGAATGTTGGCCTGCCTTGCTAGGTTGGTGATGTTCTCTTGGATAATATCCTGAACATTTTTTCCAGCTTGGATTTATTCTCCCTGTCATATTCAGGTATACTGATCAAGTGTAGATTAGGTCTTTTCACATAATCACATATTTCTTGGAAGCTTTGTTCTTTTTTTTTTTCACTCTTTTTTCTCTAATCTTGCCTTCTTGTTTTATTTCATTGAGTTGATCTTCAATCTCTGATATCCTTTCTTTCGCTTGATTGATTCAGCTATTGAAACTTGTGTATACTTTGCAAAGTTCTCATGCTGTGTTTTTCAGCTCCATCAAGTTGTTTATGTTCTTCTCTAAGCTGGTTATTCTAGTTAGCATTTCGTCTAACCTTTTTTCAAGGTTCTTGGTTTCTTTGCATTGAGTTAGAACATGGTCTTTTAACTCAGAGAAGTTTGTTATTACCCACCTTCTGAAGCCTGCTTCTGTCAATTCATCAAACTCATTCTCCATCCTGTTTTGTTCCCTTGCTAGTGAGGAGTTGTGATCCCTTCAAAAAGGAGAGGTGTTCTGATCTTTGATTTCATCCTTTTTGCATTGGTTTCTTCCCATTTTGTTGATTTATCTACCTTTGATATTTGATGTTGGTGATTTTGAAATGGGTCTCTGAGTGGACATTCTTTCTGTTAATTTTGAAACTATTTCTTTTTGTTTTTTAGTTTCCCCTCTAACAGGTACCTCTGCTGTAGGACTGCTGGAGGTCCACTTTAGACTCTGGTTGCCTGGGAATCACCAGTGGGGGTTGCAGATAAGTAAGTATTGCTGCCTGATCTTCCCTCTGGTACCTTCATCCCGGAATGGTACCTGCCAGGTGACAACCAGAGTTCTCCTGTATGAGGCGTCTTTTTGGATATACAGGGGTCAGGGAGCCACTTAAGGAGGCAGTCTGTCCCTTGCCTGCCTGCAGAGGTGCTGCTGGGCTGTCACAGACTCTGTCCAGCTGCTGTGTAGGCTTCCTCTACCTTTTGTTTACACATGCAGGTTTAGAACCACCTCAGCAATGGTGGACGCTGTTTCTCCCATGGAACTCAATCATCCTGGGTTGAACACAAACTGATGTGCTGGCTGCGAAACTCTCAACTGAGAGGTCTTTTGGGGGGTGAGACCTGCCCAGTCATATCACCTGTCTCCCTGCTTTCAGCTCCCCCTCTTTCTGGGGAGCAGGTAGCTCCATCCTACAGGTGTTCTCGGTGCTAGTCAAAATGTTCACCCAGATCTGGGCCAATAACTTGTGGTGTCTGCAGGAGCTGCCACTCAGATCTGTGTTGGTAACTCATGGGGCTTTTCAGCCTGGTGGGAATCTTCTGGTCTGTGGGTTTCAGAGGGCATGGGAGAAGAGCAGTATCTGAACCAGGTGGGGGAAAATCCCCAGTCCTCAGGTGAGTTGCACTTCCCAGGTGAGGCAGTACCCCACCCAGCCTCAGTTTGCCCTCTTTGGGCTACACCCACTGTCCAACCATTCCCATTGAAATGAACCTGGTATCTCAGATAGAAATGCAGAGATCGCTTACCTTCTGTGTCTCTCTCACTGGGAGCTGTGCTCAGGAGCTGTTCCTATTCATCTTGGTAGGATCCTCACCAACATTATATTTAAGACTTCTTTGCTATGTTCATAGGGAGATTATCTTGTCACTTTTATCTCTGTATTTCACCAAATTTGTTGTTAAGGTTATACTGGCCTTATAAAAATGGCTGGGTAGCTTTGTCTTCTTTCTTTCTGGCAGTTTATACAAAATACATATCCTCTCTCCTTTAAAGGGTATTTAACATCTTCTGTAATACCATCTGAGCCTGGTGTCCTGATCAAGGAGCTAAAAGGGTAGCTGGTTACTAATCTTTAGAGATTATAGTTTATTTCTTCTTAAGTCAATTTTTATCACATATAATTTCCAAATAAATGGTCCATTTCACTTATGCTGTCAATACTGTTATCATAAAGTTTATAGTGAGAGTTAAGGCCAATGTGATTATCCTTGTAAACTCTCAACTTCAACACACAGGTCCTTTCCTCACTTTGAATTAATTTTTGTATTTGGGTTTATTTCATTCTTTTGTTTTTTGAGCTCAGCCTTATTAATTAATTTATTTATTATTTGTTTTATCCAGCCTCTGATATGTTTGGAATATCAATGATTTCTTTAACACCTTACTTTTCCAAATTGACAGAAAATGACATCTCATTTTTCTATCAGTTACTCTGGGTTTGGGCACCTTTTCTTAGCATTTTTTTCCAATTTCTAATGAGCTAATATAAGAAAATATCTAAGTACTTTCAAATACAATTTAACAATTTTACATCTAGATTTACTGGGATTGCCATACCATACCCAAATTAACAGGACTATCTAATGACACTAAATTGTTAGCCAAAAAATGTTTATACATGTGTACTTATTTAGTATAACTGGTCACAGAAATAAACTGTAATTTTCTACTAAGATATAACATTTAAGATGGCACACATTTCACAATTTGTCAGTCAAAATAAATAGGAAAGAAATTTACATTACATTTGCCAGGAACTAAATAATCAATAACATGAAAGATACAGAGAAATGAACCACATAAATCAGAGTACACACATTCTGCTTTAAAAATTTAGGTCTCAGCTGCAGAGATCATCTAAACTATCCCATACAAATCAAAATTTCCCACTGTCTCTTCATTCCAATAATCATTGTATTAAAGCCTGTTCCCAAAACAATAGTGTTCAGCCAGAGCCAACCAATGTTCTAACAAAACCAGCTGGTGAGCATTTCTTAAGATGGTCCTAATGACAAGGCTCCTGATTGCCATTAGTCAAATTCCTTGAATTCTGAGCAATCATGCAAATTTTGTTGACAGATAAAGTGCAACTTTCATTTCTCTAAGAATCAATTACTGTTGCAGGACTTTTCCTTAGTTCAGCTAAAGACGGGGTTCTTGTCCATTCCATGGCCATGAAAATTTAGGCTCTTAGATGGTTTAAAGGGTAAGCACAGCAGGGTTTTCTTGGGTGAAAAGGGAAAGAATCTGTAAGCCCAGAGGCTCCTGCTTAAGCATTTCTCTCTGGCCATTTGAATCCCAGAGTCCACACAGGAAGAGGAGGGGCCAGGCTCCTCCCTGCTGCAAACGCCTTGAACTTTCTGAGGTTCTATCCCAGTGGGCAGGGTTGTTGGAGTTTCTCCAGTTTGCTCCCATCTGGCTGTCTCATTACTGTCTTGTATTTCAAGATTTTCACTTGGTCTATAATGGCATTTACATAAAAGAATGGATATAATCTTAGATCTGATAATTACGCTTAAATTGTTTTTCTAAGAGGAAGTACAGGAAAGGTAAAAATATTTTCAGTAAAATATATACATCTAGATAATGGCAGAGCAGGCCTTGAACTGAGTTCCACTTACTCCTAGTCCTACACTTCTCCTCTCTTTTCTTTTTACCTTTTTTAACTTCAGTATTCTGAATCACCTAGAAGACATTACAACTTTCTCATGAAGGTTAAGAGCTCTACTATTCATCAACAACCAAGAATCTTTCTTTTTTTTTTTCAGATAGCATTTCACTCTTGTTGCCCAGGCTGGAGTACAATGGCACGATCTCAGCTCACTGCAACCTCCACCTCCCAGGTCAAAGCAATTCTCCTGCCTCAACCTCCCACCAAGAATCTTTCTAAAATCGGAAATAAAGACTTACATTGCAGCACTTCAACACCAAAGAAAACTTTTCTAGCATTGAGTAGATTTATGGTTCCTTACAATTAAAACTTATTTGTTGTAAATAAGAGAGCTAAAATGATTATGATAAATGACACGCAGACATGTTACAAAAACAGAATAAACTTATATTCAAGCAATATTGTACCTATTATAAAACTAAGTCCAAAAGGAGTTGTATTTGGGATAATCTGAAACCTCAGAAATATTGTTTACATGGTAAAGCCAAAAGGGGCAATTAACTAACATTCCCTGAGTGCCTACATTGTAGCAGAAGGGTGGTAAGCATTTTGCATCAGTTATCTCATTTAATCCTAAAATACAAAAGAATCACCATAACTTCACTAGTTTGTTTTTCTGACTTAATCTTTAAAACATTAGCTTATATTTTTAAATATGATCAAGCATTCTTAACATTTAAGCCACAAGCAAATTTGATGAAAATGTCATAGCAAAAGGCCATCCTATAATTATAACTCATAATGGGCATGACAAACTTTTCTGAGTAATTATGAAGAGATGGCATAATGCTTGTTAATTACTGCAGAATTTGCAATCTAAACATCTTTTAGCTCCATTTTTCTTTCTACATATCTTTTTATGATATTTTGATTTAAGTCACTTTATTTTCCCAACACTGCCAGGAATTTATCAACATTGCTGCCAATCTGATAATATTTTTAGATTTTAAGTTATAGAATCACTTTACAATTCCCCACCAATCAAAGCATTTCCAGTGTTGTAGGGCATTCCTAATCACTTGTAGCACTGATTTATCAGCTAGGTATGTTTTAAGAAAACTATGGTACTGAGTCCTTTGTAATTAGTAAAGTGCACTCTTCATCTTTCACAGTATTTGGAACAAACATAAACATCTAAGTAACTTAAAATGCTGTAGAAAAGAACAGGGAAGACGAAGTGAGCAATATGACTCAGTGCAAGGAACACTAGACTAAAAGCTATTAGACCTATGTTCACATTCTAAGTCTTGCATTACCAAGGCATATATCTTTTAGTATTTTATTTTAATTTTCTGGGAGTTAATTCTTAAACTCAATCACTTAATTTTCCACCTTTAGAATCTATAAAAAAGATGAGCAAAGCAAACTCAAAATAGAAGAGAAAAAATAAAAATCAGAAAAAAAAATAAAATAGAAAACATGCAAACAGAAAAAGTTTAAAACCCTAAAAGTTGGTTATTGAAAAAGATCAACAAAAGTCTAAATCCCTAACTAGTCTGATCAAGTAAAAAAAAAAGAGAGATTAAAAAAAAAGGAGAGCACACCAAATACCAACATCAGAAACGTAAGGACTATATAACTACAGATCCTATAGAAAATAACTAGATAATAAGAGTATATTATGAACAATCTTATACTGCAAATTCAACACTTAGATGAAATGGACAGATTCTTCAAAAATACCACTTACTAACAATGACAAAAGATGAAGCAGAAAATCTGAGTATTCTTATGTCTATCAAGAAATTGAATGTAGAGTTTAAAACTTTTCCACAGAGTAAACTCAATGTCAAGATAGTTTTACTAAATAATTTTCTCAAATATTTTTAAAAGTAACAACAATAATCTTACACATACTCTCATAAAATAGGAAAGTGGGAAACATTTCCAAACAGTTTATGAAGGCAGTATAATCCCAATATTAAAAAATGACAAATTTATTCCAAAAAGAAAACTATAGACCAATGACAGTTATAAACTTGGGGAGAAAAAGTCTTTAAGATATTAGCATATATAAAAATGATAAGATACCATGCCAAATGAAGTTTATTCCAGAAATGCCAGATGGATGTAACACTTAAAAATAAATCAATGTGATTCACTCTATTAAGATTATAAAGAATAAAAACTTCATGATCATTTCAATAGATGAATAAAAATATTTTACCAAATTCAGCATCTGTTCATGATTAAAAATAAAATACTCTCAACAAGCCAGGAATAGAAAGTAAGTTCCTCTCCTCAGTCTGATTAAGGCATCTATAAAATATCAACAGCTAACATTTCATTTAATGATGACATATTAATGTTTTCTCCCTAAGTTGTGAAAAAGGGTAATGATATTCACTCTCAAAACTTCTATTCAACATTGTACTGAAATTGTAGCCACTGCAATAAAATAAGAAAACAAAATAAAAAGCAGAGCAATCAGAAATAAAGAAGTCAAACTATCACCATATGCAAATGATATAATTGCTCACATAGAAAAATCTATAGAATATAAAAACTAGACACCAATAGATGAATTTAGCAAGTTTGGAAGATACAAGCCTAATATATAAAAATAGCTTGTATTGTTACATAATTACAGCTAACAGTTGAAATATGAAATTAGGAAAACAATTCTTAAAATTGTACAAAAACACATATAATATTTAGGAATAGGTTTAAGAGAGATCATGAAAATCCTGTATACCAAAAACCATAAAACACTGCTGAAAGAAATTCAAGTAACCATAAATACATGAAGAAATATATCATGTTAGTGGTTGGAAGACTCAAAATTGTTAAGATGTAATTACCTCTCCATAAAGTCAATGAAATCTTCATGACAATTTTCAGTTCTTTTTGTGAAACTGAAGACATGATTCTGGATTTTACATGGAAATGTAAAGAACCATATATCTCATACCCATATTTTAAAAGATAAATAAGGTTCAAGGACTTATGCTACCTGATATTCAGGCTTACTATAAAGTTAGAGTAATACAGATGAATAAACAGGCAGGATCAGCAACTAGGTCAATGAAACAAAGTAAAGAACTCAGAAGTAGAGCCATAATTCTAAAGTCATTTGAGTTCCTGCAATGAATCCAAAGTAATTTAATGGGGGAAGAAAAGTATTTTCAGCAAATGGTCCTGAAATAAATAGGTATCCTTATTAAAAAATCAACTGTAACCCACATCATACATATACAGAAAATAATTTTTTTTATTGTTGTTGAGACAGCATCTCCAATTCCCAAGCTGGAGTGCAGTGGTTTGATCTCAGCTCACTACAATATTCATCTCCCAGGTTCGAATGATCCTCCCACCTCAGTCTCCCTTAGTAGGTGGGACTATCAGGTACGCGCCACCACAATGGGCTAGTTTTTGTATTTTTAGTAGAGACGAGATTTCACCATGTTGGCCAGGCTGGTCTCAAACTCCTGACCTCAAGTGATCCGCTCACCTCGGCCTCCCAAAGTGCTGGGATTACAGGAGTGAGCCACTGTGCCCAGCCCACAAAAATTAATTTGAAGTGGACATAGGCCTAAACATGAGAGCTAAAACTATAAAAATATTTAGAAGCAAACACAGAAGAGTACCTTTACAACTTTGAGTTAGGCAAAGATTTCTTAAACAGGAAACAGAAAACATCAATCATAAAAAAATTGATAAACTAGACATTATTAAAATTAAAAACTGACTAAAATATTATCATTAGGAAAATGAGTACACACACATTCAATAGGAAGAGAAATTAATGGGCAAATATCTGCTATCCAGAATGTAAAAGCACTCATAACTCAGTAATGAGAATATAACCAATCCAAAAAATAACATCAGAGTATTTGAAAACACAAAAAAAAGATATATGCATTGCCAATAAGCACATTAAAAATCACTGAATATATTTATCCATCAGGGAAATGCACATTAAAAACACAATGTAATACCAATACATACGAAACAGAAGGCTGAAATTAAAGACTCATGAGATTAAGCATTGGCAAGAAAGTAGATCACTTGAACTCTCATAAAAATGGTGCAACCACTTTGGAGAAATGGTTGGCAATTTCTGGAAAACAATACCTATATCTAACCTATGACCAACCAATTTCAGTACTAGGTACTTAAGAGAAAAGAAAGCAAATGTCCACAAAATTATTTACACGACAGTTTCTTAGCAAATTTATTCACAGAAACCAAAATGGAAATAACCAAAAGAGCTATTAAGAAATTAGATAAACATAAATATACTATGAAATACTACTAGGAACAAAATATAATAAAATACTACTTAGGAATAAAAAATAACCAACAATTCATACATATAACAACATATGCCTGAATCTTAAAAACATTATGCTGAGTGAAAGAAGCATTATACAAGAATAGATAATTGTATGACCCCATCGATATGAAGTTCTAGAATAGGCAGAAATAGTAAGAGAAAATTAGATCAGTGGTTGTCTCTGAGGAGTTTGTGAGAGAGCTGACTAGAAAGAGAGCTGAGGGAAATTTTGGGGGTGATGCCTATATTCTGAATTATTAGGGGTTTGGGTGGCTTGAAACAGGGTTGCCAAAAACCCTCAGTTGCAGTATCTGCAAAGCTCATAAAGCAAGTGGCAATTAAACAAAGTATGCCAGTATATACATACATATATAAGTATGTATAGCCAAATTATTATTTGACTGTAATATAACAGATTATAAAAAGTACTGTTTGCATAGAAAGGCTTTTGCTTAAAATATTAGAATTCTTACATTTTTCTTTTAAAATTATTATTCAAATAACACAAGAATTTGATTAAAAGCAAAGCCCTCACAATTCGGCCCTTTTATATTGTTAACTATAAACATAGAAGCAAGGAATTTAAGGAAGAATATAATTATTAGGGCTATAAATATTGTCTGAACTGTATTGCTAACTGTAACTGTGACAATAAGGGAATAGAACAAGTCTTAAATATAGCAGTTTTAGTTGTATACAAAACGAGACTCTGTAGTAGTGACTGAAGTTCTGTGTAGAACAGATCACAAGCTCAAATTGAGATTCAAAGAAAAAAAATGTCCATATGGATTTGGGAGGTAGGAACCATGGCCCAAGTATGATGAATTTGTCAACTCAAACTATCTTACCACTCATTATTCAACATTTAACTTATATTCCATTTTGTCTTGTTACATTTATCCACAGAGTGCACCCATCCTGGCACATCAGGAAGAAGACATACGGCCAATATCCCTTGACCTATAGAAGTCATGTTCAATTTTCTTTAAAAATACATTTAACAGGTTGAAGCAAGGGGGAAAACCTAGGATTAATAAAATAAACAAAGATGAATGCCTACAAATGTTTCTTGTGTTTTATCTTTCTAAATATTTTAAGCTCCTTGAAGATAATATCCATACTTACTATTCTTTGCATAGTCTCTTTCACGGTGTGAGAATGTGGTATTTGATTTCAAAAATGTGTTTAATTAAGATGAAAAATTTAAAAACTACTATATGGCTGAGTTTTATTTTAAGGTTTTAAACGTTCTACTGTGAGGAAATGGGTGCCTAGTGTTGCTGTGGGAGTGATGATTGTGCCTGGGAAGGTAAAAATAAACCAAAGAAAGCTTTAGAAAAAAAAAATGTTTGACATTTTCTTTCAGAAGTCCAAACATTATCTAAAAGTAGACAGGGCAGTTTCCTAAGACAAGGAGAGTAGAATATAAAGAAAGGAGCATGGGCTCTTTACCTACTGACT